GGAGTGGTAGCCTAGAGGCCTAAGTCCTCATCTTGCATGCGCTGGGATCCCCTGTGGGTGCCAATTCATGTCCTGGCTGTTCTACTTCCCTTCCAGCTCCCTGCTTGTGGCCTGGTAAAACTGCAGAGGATGACTCAAAGCCTTGGGACTCTGCACCCATGTGGGAGACCGAGAAGAGGCTCCTGGCTTCGGGTTGACTCAGCTCTGGCCACTTTGGCCACTGAGGGAATGAATCAGTGGACAGAAGATCTTTCTGTCTCCTCCTCTGGGTATATCTGGCTTTCCAATAAAAGTGAATCTTTAAAAAGTAAAAGTAAATCTTTAAAAAAAGTCACATGAGCCCCACTAAGTCATTCCAGAGGAACTGAGGCCCAGATTTTTTTTTCCAAGTTTGTTTATTCACTTGAATACAGTGACAGTGTTTCAGAAGAGAGACTCAGAAACATCTTGTAGGCACTGGCTCATTCCCTAAACAGCCACAGTGGCTCAAAAGGCCAGAAGGCTGGAGTCCATCTGGGTCTCCCATGGGGGTGGCAGAGGCCCCCGTATTTGCCCAGGGTCATTTGCAGGAAGCAGCCCCTCTTGTTGCCTTGGCCTCTGACTTAGGGAGGGGAATGATGCTGCACTCCAGGTACAAGGTGACACCCTCTTGCTTTAAAGTCTATTCAGATTTCACCTCGTGAGAGAAACGCACCTGGCCATGCCATGTAGCATGGTGACCCTTCCATGGCATGCCCTCTGGTTTCTGCGTGCTGTGGCTTTCCGCCATCTCGTCATCTGGCATGGTCCATTATTGGGCTTCGGTCACCATCCACCTGGAAATGTAAACTGATGATCTGGGCTTCGCGGTGGTTTTTTTTTTTTTCCTTGTTTAAATTCTATTTTTGATAATTCTTACATATTTGATTAGGGTACGAAGGGTCAAGGGCTAGAGGAAAGTGGGTGAGACCATTGTTTTCACATTCTCTTCTTTCCTTTCTGTATCTGGGGGAGGGGAGAAAAAAGGGGAGCCTCCCAAACACCCCAGGGTCCCCCATGTGGGGCATGCTCCGGGGGTCCTGCTCAAGTGGTTCTGATAGCTCAGCAGTTCTGTATTGCTGCCAATCTTGCCACTCTGATCACAATGAAATCTCTCCAGAATCCACTGGCTGACGTAGTCCACCTTAGAGACTGCTTGTCCAGGTATTCAATGCCAACACTTGGCTGGGGTAGTTGGTTGATTTGTTCTGTCCTCCATCCTCTGCTGTGGTACCAGGTGTCTTCTGCAGGCTCCAGGGTACTGCCATATCCTCCATGTGCACCTGGATGTGCTGTCAATCTAAGCCACAGAGGAGGCCCAGCTCTGACACATGCATTCCACTATTAGACCATGCAATTTTCTCCATGGTTGGAGCTCTTTTTATAGGCCCCACAGTACCATCCCCTGCCATCCCACACCCGAAGTTCCTTGTGCCCTTAAGAAAGGCAGGTCCTTCAGAGGTCAGGTCTGGGCCAGGGAGGAGGTGGGGTGCCATCTTTCCAGAACCTTCTCCCTTTGCCTGCATTCCAAGGTCTTCATTCAGTTGGCTGCCTCTTTCCAGATTCTAAATCAGTTGGATGTATCTATTCAAGGAAGCTTTTGGTTGGTGGAAGGTACCCGCCCCCACTGTGCCCCCACAGGGACTCCTCCCAGCAGCTTCTGCCTCTCCCTCCATCTCCATCTTTGCTTTTCTGCTTGCTCCTCCTGTCACCTGCAGCCCCACCTCCCCCATACATTCCCCAGGAAAATAAATCTCCAGGAGGAGTCTGGGAGAGTGGATCTGAGAGAACCTGCTGAATAAATGTCTATATTAGTTAATTATGAACTCAGTCACCCGTGACCTTAAGCCTAGAAGCAGGAGCACCCAGGGCAGGCAGCAAGGTGGCCGCATCCTTTATTGCAGTGTGGTCAAATGCGACGGACCCCTGGGCGCTCAGCTCCTCTCCTCTGCCCTCCCCTGGTAGGGAACAGTGAAGACAGGGACAGGCAAACTTTTAACCTGGAGGGAGGGTTTCCCCATCCCGGCAGGGATGCACCTTGGTTTGCCCCCCTCTCTCCCTCCTCCGGCCTGGAGCTGCGTGCTCCCGCCTGGCTAAGGGCAGGGCGGGCCCCCAGAGACTGATTTCCAGGGGAGAGGGAGAAGAATGCTCAAGAAAATGATGAATTTGGGTAGTTAATTTATTGATCCCGACTCCTCTTCCCACTTGTTTTATTTTAGAGGTCATTAATCAATGAAGAAAAACACCACCGTGTCCCCCCACGTTTGCACTGAATACACTCGCGCGCCTTATTTATTCCTCCGGAACAAATTCCCAGCAAATATTCCATATCGATTTGGGAGCCATGGATTTTTTTTTTTTAAAAGGAAGGTTTGATGGCTTCCTAAGTGGTGCAGACAATGTGTTTGCCGTGGACTTCTAAAAAAGCCAACAAAGAGGAGCGGGTTCAGGTCAGGTGTACGGGTGGTACCCGCCGTGGGCTCACCTTCCAGTTGCGCTCAGTGGGGCGGGGGCGGGGTCCAGGGGGACAGCTCTCACTTCTGCCCCAGTCCCCTCCACCCCTGCTATCTGGGCGTGCTTCATGGAAGTCTGGGTCAGGTTGGATCCCAACCTGATTGCCTCAAGGCTATGTCCACCTGTCCCAGGCAGACCTCTGCCGGTGCCGGGGGACCTGGCGGCTGGAAGCCAGGGAGCCAGGGGTTCAAATCTCACCCGGGTTGGAGTCTGCCCAGCAGCCCATAAACACCAGGCAACCTCTGCAGCCTCCCGGCGCCTCAGTGAGCCCCATCCATGATATGGGGTTGGTGACTCTCTTCTGGAGTCCTTGGCTCCCAGGAGCCACTCAGTTGTATGCCCCTTTCCACAGTGCGATCTGCACTAGGCCTCCGGAGAAGATGCTGGGGTCCACGTGGGCGTGAGGGAAGGCTGTGGTCCCTGGAGCTCGAGGTTAGGAGCCAGCCAAGAGGCAGGGTGAGGGGGGGCATTGGGGCCAACCCTCAAGCTACCTGGCCAAGTAAGAAAGCTCAGGCCACTCCTTAGCCTGTGCTTGGTGCTCGGCTGTGTCCACGCTGTGGCTGTGTCCACGCTGTGGCAGTTCTGCCAGCTTTTGAGCCAAAACGTGCCTCGGATTGCAACCCCAGCTGAGATCTCGGGGTTCCCCCGCGTGGGGTTTGCCCTCGCCTCGGGTTGGATCAATTTATCCGGGAATGATGGATGACCTTGCCATCACTACGCCAGTCAGGACACTGTCGGTCCAGCTGTTCCCTCCAGCCCCGAAGCAGCATGCGAGAGACACCCGGAGGGTGAGTCCATCAAAGGGCGGCTTTCCAGACGCTGGAGCAGGGGGAAGAGGAAAGACAAAAACAAACAAAAAGCAAGCTGAAACCAAGAAAGAATGGTTTGTGTGAATTAAGCGGTTAAGGCAATGCTGGTTCTCCTTGAAGCGTGGATAGAACTGCAGCCGTGGCCTCGACCACCGAGGACAGGCCGAGCTGGGCAGGGGCAGGGCCTGATTCCTAGGCGTGAAGACAGCCCTCGACTCGACGGCTAGGTTTGGCGCTTGACAGGCTCCGGAGCAGCAGCTGCTCTCCCCCAGCCCTGCAGTCGGAGCAGCTCGGGGGAGAGCCAGTGTCCCGAGCCTCCTCTCCGCCAAGCCGTGCCTCTGCGTCTGCACTCCCAGAGCTCCACTCCAGCGCACCACGGCCCGACCAGCCCCAAGTTTTTCTCCCGGGAGGATTCTGTGAGAGGTGGCATGGCGCAGAGAGGCGCCTCCAGCAGCCATCGGCACTCCAGGAAGCTGGGCACGCGGGGCCCGGGACGGGCAGGACTCTGGCGGCGGAGAGCGCTGGCCGGCGCCTGTGCCGAGCTGCGTCCGAGTGTCGGCGAATCTGCCGCTCACAGCATCGCAGCGAGGAGCCGGGACCTAGGGAAGACAGATCACGGGCAGAAAGAGACAGCGGAGAGCAGGAGGCGTCACCCAGGAGCGGGGGATGAGAGGGCGGAGGAGGCGTTCTTGCAGGAGAGGGCGCGTGGGTCCGGCCGAGTTAGAACTTCCTCTTGGCTCTCCCCTCCCCTTGCTTCTTCGGGGCTTGGCCCCCACCCCCATCTTTCTTTCTCTCTCTCTCTCTCTCTCTCTCTCTCTCTCTCTCTCTCTCTCACACACACACACACACACACACACGCACACGCACACGCACAAGCACGCACACTTGTATTTTGTGCTGTCGTAAAACCCACGTGTCCAGCCGGGAGGCTGCCAGAGAGAGTGCAGCCCCGGTGCAGGGACGCGGCGGCAGCGCGCAGCAGCCCACCCCTGTCCAGTCCCGTGCCCCCGGGCCGAGCTGCTCTCTCTCTCTCCGCGCGCCTGCACTGCTCGCAGCCCGGAAGGGCCCGGGGCGGCCGGATCCCCGAGGCTCTCCCCGCGCCCGACCCGGGGGCATGTAGCGCACCGGGGCGTGCACTCTCCCGCCCGCGCCGCGAGGCTCCCGCGCGCACCCAAGCACCCGGCCGCCGCTGCACGAGTTTACGGGTAAGGTGAGGCGCGTCGGGGCGAGGGTCTCCGGACTCTGAGGGTCGGGGAAGGATTGGAGGTCCCTGGCTGGGGGCGGGGGGCTAGACTGTCCCGCCTCCTGGCGCCTGAAACCGGCGCGCCTCGGGCGCTGCGCCACTCCGGCTCGGGTCGACTCCGGGCGCCGGGCGAGGGCGGGCGCGGCGTCCCGCAGCCGAGTCCCGCCGGCGGCCAAGCGCCCCCTCGCCGGGCCCAGCGCCGTGCGCCCTCGCGGGCCGCCAGGCACCGCCGGGCACTCGCGGCTCCCTCCGGGAGGCTTTCGAGTCAACTTTGCGCCCCGGCGAGGCAGTCGGGAGGAAGGAGCCGACGAAGCGGGCTGCCGCGGGCGGAGCCCCGGGTCCAGGCAGCCTCCCTCCCAGCTCCCCGGCGCCCCGGGGTCTGGCTCACCAGCGCCCTTCCTGCTCTCTGCCCCAGCTCGAGGCGTCGGACATGCTGAAGCCTGGAGAGCCGGGCGGCTCAGCCTTCCTCAAAGTGGACCCAGCCTACCTGCAGCACTGGCAGCAACTCTTTCCCCACGGCGCCGGCGGCCCGTTCAAGGGCGGAGGCCCCGCCGGCCCCCTGGGCGCGCCGCAGCCTCTCCAGCCGCCACCGCCGCCGCCGCCCCCGGAGCGCCCCGAACCCCCACTCGACAGCCTGCGCCCGCGACCCGCCTCGCTCTCCTCCGCCTCGTCCACCCCGGCCTCCTCGTCCTCCTCGTCCTCCGCCTCGGCCTCCTCTGCCTCCTCGTGCGCCGCGGCCGCCGCCGCTGCCGCTGCCGCCGCGGCGCTGGCGGGGCTCTCGGCCCTGCCCGTGGCGCAGCTGCCCGTGTTCGCGCCCCTGGCCGCCGCCGCGGTGGCCGCCGAGCCGCTGCCCCCCAAGGACCTGTGCCTCGGCGCGGCCTCGGGCCCAGGGCCCGCCAAGTGCGGCGGCGACGGCCGGGGCGCCGCGCGCTTCCGCTGCAGCGCAGAGGAGCTGGACTATTACCTGTACGGGCAGCAGCGCATGGAGATCATCCCACTCAACCAGCACGCCAGCGACCCCAACAACCGTACGTAGCAGCCGCAGCCCGCGCGCTCTCCCGGGGCGCTGGCGCCGGCGGGCACGGGCGCCTGTCGGGGAGGCGGGACGCCGGGGGCAAGGGGTGGGGGGTGCGCTGGGGCTGGGCCGGGGCTGGACACTGTAGCCAAAGTTGTCTGGCGTTGGAGAAAGAGGGGAGCGGCTTTGATGGCCGGTAGTGGAGAGGAGGGGACTCTGGGGTCTGCTCTCCGCACGCCCCCTCTGCTTCACAGTCCCCAGTGGGTGGGATCGGGGCTCCCAGGGACCGGGGAAGGTCAACTGTCTCTTTGCCCAAAGGAGGAAAAGAAAAATATATCCCTTGCTTTAGGGAGAAGAAAAATTCCGATTTCTGGGCGGGAGAAGAAAAAAAATCCGATTTCTGGGTGGTGTCGTGGCTCGCAGACTCCGTCTCGAGCTTGAGAACCTTTGCGGTCGGTGTTGGTTCACCCGTGGGTTTGGTTTTAAGTAAAAATGTCAGGCATTTAGAAAACGCATCTTCCTGTCTCGTTCGCCAAAGTGGCGAACGCCCGACCCACCGTCAGGGCTGTAGTGACCCCGGGCTCCTGCGTGCACATTTTTTTTAAAGGCTGGACATCCGTGCAGCCGCGTTGTGAGGTTTTTTTACAGCAAATCTCTGAAGTGAAAACCAAGAACGTGTGTTGCCCTAGACCCGTTTCTTTTGGTTCCCTTTGGAAGGGCTGTGTGGTCGCGCCGCTCGCTCGTGATGGCGGCAGCGCGAGTCGGGTTCTGGGAGAGAGGTCTGCGGACCGCGGGGAAGGAGGCTGGGGGTCGGACTGCAGGCAGGGCAGAGTTGGGAAGACGGACATTCCCACCTCTGCTTTCCCCGTCCCACTCCGTCAGCCTCCTTCGTTAGGAGACCAGGGCGTCGTACTTTAGTATTTTGTATCGATCCCTCCCCTGTCTGCCGCTTGCTGAACTTCCTTATGCGTGGTAAAAGCAAAATAACTTCCTTGACAGCTGTTGAAAGTGATTTTTTCCCCCTAGAAAAAACAAATCCACGGGGCGGGAGGCTAGCGCTTGAGGCGTATTAGTGGCCACCAGGATGCGGATAATTACCGACCAAGGGAGCATCTGCTGTAACTTCCCCTTTCCTTTGAGTCCCAGAGTTAAGTACTGGTCGGAGATGGCAACTCCCCAGGCTACTTCCCGGTGCAGTGAAAATGACTTGTTTTAAGTTGTTGAAAATTTTGTGTTGTTTTAAAGGGTTTCCCCCAAATTTTATATTGCCCGATGTCATGAGGGTTTTCGAGGCAGTTCTTTAAACTTGCGACACGGAAAGGTAAGGCGCTCGCCGTGGAAGAGGCATTTTCCCCAGGCTGCTGCCTGGAACGCAGTTTCTCCCGTGAATTAGATGGGTGCCGGCCCCACTCGGGGCAGCGCGGTTCAGCCCCGGCGCGATTTGCATCCAGGCTTGACATTTTCGTACGTTTTCATCAAAGACCTTTGACTGAAGGGACACGAATGAAGATTTCTATTTGTGCGGTTCCTATTGTGTGGTGTCTCCAGTGGAGTCAGCTGTGGGCCAGTGGTGGGGAAGTTAGATCGTCCTAATTAAAGGGCAATTGAGCAAGACAATAGGAAGCTGGAATAGCTGCACCCGGAAGATGCTGGGAGACTTGGAGCTTGTCTGCTAGGACCTCTCTGGGAAAGCACCCCTAGGCTGCCTCGTGAAATGGAGGGATGTGTTTTCTGGACTCAAAAAGTGTTTGAGTCGACCCTAGCCCGGGCCTGCCTGTAACGGAAAAAAAGGATCCCTTTTCCCTTGTCGAGCAAGCCGGACAGCAGGTCTCTGGAAAGGAAAGTTTTTCCTTTTCCCAGATTTGTGGTGAGAGGTGAGGCGGACACTAACGGAGAGCCCTGATTAATCGCCACCTAGAAATGTCACTTTTGTTTTTCTTTCTTCTTCTTTTCTTTTTGGAGGGGCATGCCTCTTTCCAAAATAATTCTGGAATGAGGTGGCTCAGTGTTGCTTCATTTTGTCATTTGGTGTGCTGAGCGGTTTTTCTGTTTTTCCTACAAGGCAGGCGAGGGGCACGGCCTTCTTGCTTCTTTTTCCTTTCGTTGCGTCTGGGATCAGCAATAAGCGATGCGTTGTCCTGTAAGCCAAGCACTCCGCAACCCTGCAGATTCACCGGGGAACTTGATTGCCATCTGGCCTACATGCCAAGGTGAAGGGACTTGCAGGTCTGACACCCAGGAAGTTAACAACAGCAGAAGCTGTGCATTTGTGATCCAGCTCTGAGGATTTTTTTTAAATTCCTGGGGCTGAAGTTCACTCTGGCTGAGCTTGCAACTTTAGCTGCCCTGCAAGGGTTCCTCTCTCCTAAAGCCTGAGGTGGCCACGCAGTGGAAGAGGGAGGGAGGTGAGATCTGCTCCTGCAATATACGCTTCTGCCCTCACTGACGCCGCTGATCGCCTGTGGGCTGTGGGACCCCCAAGGCTTCCAGAAGATCTTGCCTATGCCAGATCTTCTCATCAGTTGGATGCTCACACCATTCTGTGTGGACAGTCCCCCTTGGTACTTGGGCGGCAGGTGACAGTCAAACCACCTCCCCCCCCCCCCGGGTGCCTCAGCCACAAGCTGAACCTTGAGGGGCTTGGGAGTCTGTCACTGTCCTTGGAACTTTAGGAAGCTTAATCATGGGGAACAGTACTGGGAACAGTGGATGTGTGCTGGGCCGTGGGCAGAGGCGCATTTGTGGGTAGCTCCAAGCTGTGCCCGCATTGGGGAATGAGACTGGGGAGCCACGATGAAGTCTGGTTTTTCTGGTTGTGGGGAGCAGTTTGGTCCTGGTAAAAGATAAAGGCGGTACCTGGTTTTTGATCTCTCCTTAATCTTTTCTAACAGGGTTGGGGGAGCTTGGAGCCCTGGGGCGCGCTCCAGAGGCCTCGTGCACTCAGTTCCCCGCGCCCTCCCCACACCTGCACCAGCATCCAGGCTGTGGACCACCAGCCAGCGGTGCGTGCGTGGGCTTGCGGTGCGTGCGTGGGCTTGCGTGTCTGTGTTCCTCTCTGCGTTCTCGGTGTGCAGCAGGCCCGCTCCGTCCCGCAACACACAACACACACGCTTTCTAACATTCGTTATCTAGTGCCCTGGAACCGAACACAGAGCCGTGTTTGAGATTGAGGTTAGGAGGGGTGGCGACTGTTTATTTAAGGTGATAAAATGGTCCATCAGCAGTAATCTCCGTCGATATGTGCCACCAGGAGATGAAGGATGGGGGACACGCCACAATTAATTGCCTTCTCGTTTTGTAGGAGAGAGTGGGGCTGGCCGGGCCGGCTTCGATCTCCTCTCGCGGCTTCTATTCATCATCTGCGCGGTGGACGTGGCAGCCGCGCAGGGCAGGGGCCGGCCGGGTTTATTCCGCATCGGTCTGCTTCCGCCACACCACTGGCGCGCCCGTGGAATTCTGTAATGCCGTCGTCGTGGGGGAGACGAATAAAAGCACACATTTCTTTTTTGCTGCTTCTCGTCTTCTCCTTGTGTCTTGCTCTAGGGGTCCCGGGCCACGCCCGGGCAGGCCTGGCCCAGCAGGACAGACACTGCCCTGTGTGTGGCCGCAGTGCGTAAACTGGGCACTGGCTCAGGGAGCGCCCCAAGAAGGGCCCCCCGCGGATCGCGCTGCCCACAGGCGCGAAAGCCCTTGGCTTCCCCTTCCCGAAGCGCGAGCTGGCCCTTCTCCCTTCTCACAGGGCCTGCAAGACCCCCGTCGGTTAGAGGAGGGTGGATGGGCGGCGGCCATGCCTGGGATGGGACGAGAGCTCTTCCAAGGCAGCCCTGGTGCGCAGTCCTCCAGCCGACACCCCTTCCCACAAGGCGCCCGCATTCGCGTGGCGCACGGGCACCCTGTCTGTCCTTTCGGCCCCGCAGAGGTTCCGGGCCGCTCTCTGTCCCCCGGGGCCAGCTCCTCCTCTGGCCCGGGGTGCGCAGCGCGGCCAGCAGGCGGCACTCCCGGGGCCGAGCCTCCTGGACGATCGAAGGGCTCTGGCCTCGCAGGGCTTGGCCCGCGGGGTTGTGGGCCGCGACCTCGGCGACTGGCTGCGGGAGGATTTATGGCTGGAGAGGCCGCTGCTCTGGGGCTGGGGCTGGGTGGAGGGGTGGCGTGGGGAGGTGCGGAAACACGCTGTCGGCTCCTGCTTGCTTCCTTGAGCCACGGGCTGCGAAGGCTGGATGGGGAGGGGGCCCTCCGCGGGTCCGATGCTGTGGCGCTCCAGACTCCCACAGACCTCGGCAGTTGGCATTTCACTTTTCAAGAACAGGGAAGGAAATTAGAAAAAAAAAACCAACCAAACAACAACAACAACAGAAAACATGTCTTTAGCAGATCTATTAAAAATTCGAAGTCATCTCTGTGCGCTTGGGAAAGCCTCGGAAGCAGCGGACAGGTGTGCAGTGAAAGTGAGTCCCCCCTTACCCAGGCTGGCCTTTTGCAGGCGGGAGGGCAAGGCGTCTGTGACCTAGCCGGGTCCCCTCCCCCTCGACTGGGCCATGACAGCTTGTCTTCAGGGTAAAGCAGAGACCTGCCTGGCGTGGATTCCCCATGCTGAAACGGCATTTCAAAATATCTTGCTTAAATAGAATACCTCTTGCAAATAGAAAATTCCTTGTGAATAGTAATTGCCAACTTGCACACCAACTTGCCTTAGTTTCAGGAGCAAACAGGAGCTTGCCCACAGACAGCCGTGTTGTGTTAGGCATTGGTGTTCTGGAGTGTGAGCTGTGTGTCCTGTCCCATCACCCCACGGATAATGCTTTTATAAATGTTGGGGTGTCCGGCCCACAGCGTCCTCAGACCTTTCCACGCCGGCGTTTTATGGCTCACTGACAAGGACATAGTCTGTTAGACTATTCGTCTGCTTGCATCCTGTTTGTCACCAGCCCCCTAAAAACAAGTGGCTTGTTTTATACATTCCACTTGATCCCTGAGATGCAAGTCAGAAAGCCTAGGTGGATGGGGTTTTGTATATTAAAAACAATGACATGAGAAGCGAGGGTAAAATATGATGGCAGTTGGTCCACTTTGCTGGCAGGCTGTTTTGATGGAGCCTTGAGTGAGCCACCCATTAAGAAGACTCAGAGGGGCTGGGGTGACCTGGTCCATGTACTGGGAACCTGACGCTGGGTGATGTAGCAGATATTGTTGGAGCCTTAGTTTTGTCACTCTGCAAAAGGCTACTCTTAAGTTTTCCCAATACTTGGTGGAAACAAAAGCAATAGGGGTTTATTATCACCTGCTGCAGTTGTGTGTGTGTGTGTGTGTGTGTGTGTGTGTTGGGCAGTTAGGGAGGCGGGCAGTGGCTGGAGTGGCTGTCTTCTCTTATGTTGTAGCGGGAGGGAGTGGTTGGGAACAGTCTGCTCAGGCCTTGGGGACGGAATTCTAGAAGCTCTTGTTTTTCACCTACTGCTTCATGTAGTCAACCAGAAAGGAAAAAGTGGTTCAGCGGCTCCCTGGGGTGATCTGGGTTTTTTTTTTTTTTTTTTCATGGGCATCTTGCATTTGGGGCTTGTCATTTGTTTTCAGCTATTTTTGCCAAGGTGTTGAAAGGTCACCCTGGAGGCCAGATGCTGAAACTCAAAACCATGGATCTTATCCGTATACACCCCTACTTCTTTTCTCAACTGAAACCCTCCCCCATCTCCCCAGAGTGTGGGAAAAGAGAGAAATCGCCATAGCTCAATCTTGTTATGGCAAGTTTTGTGGCCCTAAAATAGTTATCTCCGTGGAATACTTCAATTCTATTGATTGAGTAATGAGTTTGGGATTAGAATTCTCCTGGCTTGCATTTGTCTTGCTAAATCTTTGGGTTTGAAGGCTAGGAATCAGGTATACCTAATTACAGCCCCTCTCTCGGCCGTCCCAAGCTTCAGGTCCTTCTGGTCGACCTGCAGAGCCTCCCGTGCGGAGTTGGAACCTTGGCGCTCAGACTTTGCTGGGGTTTACTTGGAAGCAGGTGCCTTACTGGCACTTGGTGGTGGCTGTGCTGGTCGTTTGTCCCTTCTGCAGCCCTGAAGGGTGTTAACAGTGCTGCTTGTTGCAAGAAGGAGGCAGAAGATGGCCTGTGGGGGAGGGAGGGAAGATGCTCCCCCATCTACAGAAACAGGTGGTGGCTTCAAGGATTCACCTACCAGAAGCTGCAGCCCGCAGGTGTTTCCATTTCCCAGGCTCTCCTGGGAGGCAAACACAGCTGGACTTAGAATCAGCCCCTCTGGGTTGAAACAATTTAGGGAGAGAGTTCTCATTTACCTATGTTAGTGGAAAGTTCTGGGGCTTCAGCCCTTTCAGCAAGCAGATGGCAGGTAAAGGATGACGCATTAAAGGATGACGCACCAGGTTTAGCAAGTGACCAAAGCCTGGCTCAGGTATCACAAGTCCCCAGGGCCACCCAGCGCTGGAGCCTCTGCGGGTGCCCAGCTCTCTCCATCACCCCTCGAGGCTCCAGGGCTCCGCGGGTAGGCTGAGCCACGAAGGCCGAGTAGCTCCAGCAGCTGCGCCGCCGAGGCCACCTCCTCTCTGGGCAGGCCAGCCGCGCCCGGGCGCAGACACTGCGGCTCCACCAGGTCCATTAATAACCCGGAGGGCGCTGGGATCCGACAGCGCGGTCGCTGCAGGCCCTGCTGCCCGCAGCCTCCCTTCCCTGAGGGTGGGGGTGTCCTTGCGCGCCGACTGCCTCAGGAGCTCGGGTGCTGAGAAAGCTTCGGCCACACAGCCCTGGTGCGTTTATAGCGCGTTTGAACTCGGGGTTAGCCTTGGGGGCAGGGCTCCGGGGTCCTCTCTCGGTTGAGCCTCTGTGGAGGGCTTGTTCGAGGGCACCAACCGACTGAGCCCCCCCTCCCCCGAGCCGTCACCAGACGCCCCACTGCAGCGCCTGGGGTGAGCGTTGACGGCACGCGAGGGGACCCCTTGGGGCCGGGGATTGGGCGCACGGGGGCTCCAGTTGGCGGGGGTGGGTTTGTCCCCGGTTTGGGGGTGGGCTGTGTTGGAAACGGCTCCCCGAGCCAGACGTTTCTAAACGTCTCCCCTGTAATTGCAAGCAAAGGCGCATCAAACACGCAGGTGACTGCGACCTAAAACCTCTCCAGTATGTCAGTTTGGGCAAGAGACGGGTTTTGTTTTCAGTACGCCGGCAGACGCACCCGGAGCTAGTCCAGGGAGGGTCAGGTGCGGGGAGCCGCCGCTACCAGCGGTATCAAGCAGAGGCGGGAAGCATGAATTCCTAGGCGGAGCGGCGCGGGTTCGGGTCTCCTCGACGTTCATCCCCCCACCCCCAGCAGGTGGCTCATGGGACAGGCGGGGATGCTCCCTCCCCTCCCCCATCAGTGACGGGCAGCCCCAGAGGTCGGGTTAACCTCTCGCTTCCCTCCCTCCCCGCGTGTCTCCCGTAGGTTGCGACATGTGCGCGGACAACCGCAACGGCGAGTGCCCGATGCACGGGCCGCTGCACTCGCTGCGCCGGCTCGTGGGCACCAGCAGCGCCGCGGCCGCCGCGCCCCCGCCGGAGCTGCCCGAGTGGCTGCGGGACCTGCCGCGCGAGGTGTGCCTGTGCACCAGCACCGTGCCGGGCCTGGCCTACGGCATCTGCGCGGCGCAGAGGATCCAGCAGGGCACGTGGATCGGGCCCTTCCAGGGCGTGCTCCTGCCCCCGGAGAAAGTGCAGGCAGGCGCCGTGAGGAACACGCAGCATCTCTGGGAGGTGAGTGCTCGCTGCTCCGCGCCCGGTCCTCCCGCACACCCCTGCCCACCACCACCCTGGTTCAAAGCCGGCACCCACCCAGGAAGCCAGACCCCTCCCCTGCTTCCTGAAGCTGCCTCTGCTGTTGCCGGGTTGGATTTGACTCTGTGTGTCTCTGAGCCTTAAGAACCCCTGAGCGGCTGGAACTGGTGTGGGGTAGATGCCGGGTGAGCTTGAGGGCTAGCTTTACTTCCAGCACTCCCCTCCTCCAACGTAGGGTATTTCTGTGCTCAGAGCTGGAGGGAGGGAGGAAAGAGGAGAGAGGCCTGCTGATTCGCTCAGGTGTAACAGTTTTGTGAATGAAGTTTCTTGTGAATGCTGCTTTTTCCCCCCAACTTTCAAAATGCCCGGGATAAGGATGCTGCGCCGTGAATCAGAAGGCGCACATTCTGTGCCTTCTCTGAGAAGGGAACACTGCAGTCCCCAAGACTCAGGAAAACTCTGGCACAGTTGGTGAGAGTGCTGAACTGGCCCAGGTTTACTTGATGATGCGCTGTATGAGAACAACCTGTTGGAACACGTCAGCCCAAGGTGGTTGATTTCTGAGGGCGACCACTAAAAGAGACAGGTGCTGTCAATAGTCATATGCACACCCCCACAACCCCAAGGCTGTAGCTGTAACATCCTCAGGAGAGTTTTTTAGGAAATGCAAAATACTACGAATCAAACCCTAAAGCATAATGTGCCTCGGACTGTGGCCAGGTGATCAGAGAACAGAGTTGCTTGAGGGCCAAGCTGGCAGGGACCTGGCCGCTCCACTAAGGGATTGCTTCTGTAAGAATGTGTCGCTCACACTTGATGGCCTGTGGACTGTGAGCCGCCTCATAGTCACTAAAATGACACACCTGGGACTCCAAATCCACTCCAGCCAGCACTGTACTAGGTCCTGAGGATGCCCAGTGCCCACTCCAGCTAGCACTATACTGGGTCCTGGAGATGCCATGTTGAGGAAAGCGGACCTGCTATCCAGAGCCTTCCCATGGCTCCTAGGAGTTGGGGGTGCTGGAGTAGCCTCTACAAGCCCCCTTAAGCTGAGTGTGAGCCTGCAACCCACAGCAGGAGGGCACTGGGCCTCAGTGGCCTCCCCACTGTCCTGCCATGCTCCCAGGCCACGTCACTCCTCAGCTGCTGTTAATAAATGATTGCATATACATGCTTAGTCTTCGGAGAAGAGTCCAGACTGTGTGTGCTTGCATGAATGCGCATGGGGGCTGGGGGATCTGCATATTTATTGCTAAATGGTCCTTCTTTAAAAAAAAAAAAAAAGCAGAAATCTGTTTAAGATGGGGACAGTGGCTTGGTGCAGGATACGTGGCGGTAGATGAGCAGTTTGTGTTTTTGTGTAAGAAAACTAATCAAAGCATCTGGCTTTGCAACATTTCCTAGTTAGTTTTTGTTTCTGACTAATTGGTTGTAACCTCCATGTGGTTTACAGTTTATAAAATACTGCCAGGCATGGCTCATAGTCCAGCGATGTTGTCGGGAACTGGAGCTGCACCCAGCCACGGGCCTGCACATACTGGCCTGAGGGGCACGGTCAAGCAGCTGTTGAGTGGCACGGGTTTGGAATATCGGAAAATGCAAAAATGGGATCCTGTCATTTTGCACCACGCTGCCTACCTATTTTTAGAATGCCAGGGGACAAAGCCACAAACACATTAGTTTTCCTGGAAGACTTTGAGTGACTAGGCTGTTGGCAGGAAGCCACTACACATATAGAATGTGTATACTGCAAACCAGGGGGCTTTTGTGACTGGACTTGCACTGCATGAAGTTCAAATTCTCTTGTAGTAAAAGAAACTGGGAGATTTGATGAGTTTTTTTTTTTTTTCCTGTCTCAGTACTTCAGTAGATGCAAAGTGAGTGTATGATTTCAGGTGGTGAATTGAGTGTGTTGGAAGGGGCGTGTACAGAGTTGATTTCTGTGTTGTAAAAAGAGCTGGCTGCATATATGCTGGAGGCTGGCTGCAGAGCCCTGCTCCTAGATGTAGGATATAACCGATCTATTTTTATCACTGTAACAACAGCTAGGATACTGTGCATTTCAGAAACCGAAGGGTGTTAATGCTTCAGCCATCTGAAATTTATCAGTCTCCTGGGACATCAAATAAAATACAGCAAACTGAGCCCAGTTAACTTAGTGCCCATGTCCATTTGCAAGATAAAATGCTGACTTTAAAAAATAGGTTTCAGGTTCTTACTAGTATAATTATTTGTAAGATGCCAAGCAGGAGTTGATTTTTAATTTGAAAGCCTTATGATTTCTATGAAACATGACTATTTGAATTATATTTGTGACAAGATTCTAAATGCTGAATTATTTCTTACGTTTTAATGTTTCCTTTTAAATAGAAATTCTGTTGTGAAATTTTTTCGAAATCGCGGCGTTATTTATACCAGCGTATCTGTAATTGGAAGGCAGGACGGGTCTAAGAGGAAATGTTGGCAATAATTGTTTAATGACTCATGTAATAATTATTTATTTTAAAACCATATTCTTTATCTCCCAGAATATCAGCTTGACGTAAAGCAGATCTTTAAAAAATGAAACGCAGTTGAATTATGAGTCTCTCGTTCTAAAAGTCAGCTGGGATCATTTCTCTTAGGTTTTTGCAGGTCACTTGCTGATGAGGAAATGCCTTTATATTTAAAGTTCAATAGCCAGGTCCTGATGGATCTTCCTGGGGTTACTTATCTTTATTTCAGTACAATAAATGGATTGCTAATCTTTTTGCCGTCACTGTTTCCAAGCAGATGATGGATTCTTGCTTCGGTTGACAGCCCATTGTTTCCAGTACTTGGTTACACACACGAAGGCTTGGCTCGAGCCGTCAGGCCCACCTCTGTGACTTCTTTTGTTTAAAGTATCTTCTATATAGAAAATGACTTTTTCAGCCATGGAGAGCTTGCTTGTTCAGTGTATAAACATGTTAGGATTTTGCAGTTAATATTTTCTTTCTGTGTAATCCAGCAAATAAAGTTAGCTATCGGTCTGTAGCATTCAGTGTGTTTTGACACTTTTGGGTGTTGTGAGGAAATTTCAAGAGCTTTTCTTTTCCTTGTTATTAATAATAAAGCAAGTAATTTTCTATAAGTCCAAGAAGATTAAAAGTCAACCTCTTTAATCATCTTGGGAAACAATTTCTTTTAGAATCAAAGTTTTTTTTATTATTGTTATTTTTTTTACATAATAAGTCCAGGTATTTCAAAACAAAAGCATTAGCAGACACATTATATAATCACTTTCCTTTTGTTATGTATGTTTATTCCAGCAAGACTTGTATGCATGATACATTTTCAGCTATTTTTGAACATACTCGGGGAAACATTCCTTCTGACTGTTTTGCAGAGAAAACAATCTTTCTCAGCAATTAGATATTATTGATGGGAGTAAGATAATTTTGTCCTAATGTGTTTTCTAATAAAGAAGTGGAAAAGGCACATTTAATTCCAACATTTCTGAAAGCGTTATCTCAATTATTAATGTGCCCTTTTTCCCCTGAGCTAAATCCATCTAGTTACACATGATTTCCCTTTCTGCTTACCATCAGAATGTAACACATAAGGACCGGAGGAATGCATGCAGTTGAGGGTTTCAGATGCTCTGAGACAAAATGCAGAAGTTTAAGACAGAGTTGCAGCTGAAGACGGAGGCGAAAATGGCTCCGGACATTCAAAGTCTGGTTTGACAAAAAATTTGAGCAGTCATGACAACATAAATTGCACTGATTTTTCACCCAAGAGAAGTTGTTCTGCTAATTGAGATAATGTAATGACTTGTTAGGGTTCCAGTGAAGGGTCGCGTAAGGCCTGGAGTCCCGTGGAACCTGTCTTCTCTCCGCCAGAGTAAAACTGAGGGTCTTATTTCCAGGTACATGACATGGGAAGCCTCATTATTTTTCTTGAGAATTTCAAAGGAGTTAATGTCATGTGGGCCTTTTTGCGGTTTGATTTTGTGCCATAATATTTTAGATTTAATAAGAATTTTGCTTTTAAGCCAATGCTTCATTCTTCATCATTACCATGTAGCTTAGGTCAAAAGATATTAATGAAAACTCAGATTAAAAATATATTACACATGGCTACATGTTTATATTTCAAAACCGTCACCAGTAATTGGTACTAGAAGGGAATGCATTGATGTCATATTTTAAGTATATGGCATATAGTTTTGCAAATGACCCGCTTGCAAACGTACAGTATGGAATCCATTTGTATATCTTTAGAGGTTGAAAACAAAAGTTTAAGTCATCATTTACAATTTCAAAAAATCATTTCAAAATGGTCCCAGTGGTAGTCCTGCGAGTGTGTATTCCCTGTTTCTGTGTTGTACGCTTGGACTCAGATCGGTCTGATTCACCAGAGCGCGAGGGGATAGAATTATGTGGCTGTCACAGTTCTGTGGAAGGAAAAATTGTGTTTCTCAGCAGTTGATCATTTAATATCCTAGTCTGTCTGTCGGCTTGATTTTGAAGATGTCAGTTTGCTGAAATTTTGAGAACTCCTAGAAAGAAGCCACAGTAATGTTACCAGGCAGAGGAACAGCTGGGGCGTCTCTCTGGCCTTACCTCATTTAATTTGAAGATGCTTTGGGGTGGGGGGGGGCATTGGATCCAGTGTGAGCATTTTGTAGTTTTACAGAAACTGTAAAGCCATCTGCCGCCTCTTGGAACAGCGTCCAGTATTGTGTTAAAAACCAGAACGGGCCTTTACGGTGGCCTTGCAAAGGTCGTGTCAAGCCTGTTGCTCTGTGTGCCCGCCTGCGGTGTCAGCCCCGCTTTTCCAAGTCCCCAGATTACTTTTTTGGGGGGGAAAGAAAAAAGCCAGCAGACTTGTAGCAGCTATTGTGGGAAATCTTCACTTCTGTGAGGTTTAATCCAAATGTGCGTGTGGCACTTTAGTGCTTAGTCCCAAAGGCTTGATACAGACTGTGCTCTGAAGTTTGCAAGACAATTTTCAGT